GGTATGGGCGCTCTCGGATCCATTCTGTTTTCCCCATTTGAAACAAATGACTTGAGATAATAGTAGTCTTAAAACTGTAATTTACTGTTTGTGAAGGGGGAATTATAGGGAGTGTAAAGTCTTTTTGGGAAAAAAATTACAAAAGGCTTGCATAATGAATTTGGTGGGAGAGGAAATGCTGTCTTTGTGCCGCTTGTTGCTTTTTGGTGTGCGTCTGGACTTGGAAAGTTCTCTGGTGAATTTGGGATTAAATCCAGCCTGTGAAATTAGAGGAATGTGCGGTGTGTGACAGGGCTGAGGGAAAGATGGCATTTGTTTCCAGGAGGTGAAACGCTTGTGAAGACAGGGCTTATCCAGGCAGGAGGAGAGGGTTTGCCCTGGGATGCCTCACACGAGGGGCTGGCCCTGGGTCCCCAATGGCACCACTGCAGGAGCTCCTGAGCATCGTCCTGCCCTTGCACAGCTCCCTTGGGGCTTCCACACCCTGCCAGGGGACCAGCGTCACTTCTGGGGGTTGGCACGGTGCTGCCGGGAAGCGTTATGGCTCAGGTTATAATGCCTGGCCCGAGGGCCATGTTTCATGGTTGTGTAGAATGGAATAGTGCTTCTTGTTGGGCTCATGCTTGCCCAGGGCATGGGGGATGTGCAGGGGGATGCCGACCCCTTTCCTTGGAAAGGGGTCAGGAGCTGCTGTAGAGCACGAGTAGGAGAGGCTAAAGCGAAGGGCACCTCATTGTAGTAGGCGAGGGTGGAGGGTGCAGGTCTCCGTGCACCTTTTAACGTTGCTGTCTGCAGTTTGGGTGACAAACTGCAGGCAGCAGAAGCGGCAGTGGCACATACCTCGGCTGGTGATGTGCTAGCTCGACTCTTTGGATTAACTGCGAGTGATTTTTCAGATTGCTGGTTTAAATAGAGCACCTGAACAGACGTCAAATTGCCCCGTGGCACTTTCACAGCCTTTCCTTAATGCTGGCGAGAGATGCTTATGAAACCAAAAAGTGTGTTTGTGGCACCACATGTTCCCGTATTCGGCAGCGATAGCTAATTTTTTTGTAAATTGAATAAATCATGTTAAAAAAAGTTAATGAGGCATTTAATTAATTAACAATGTAGAGTTTTATGGTCTTTATGGTTACATTTTGTGGTTAATGACATTCTTCTTATAGCCTCTTAACACAGAATTACCTGGCAAAATTAGCCTTTTCGTCCAGTAGTAGGTATTCCGCCCTAAGATGAGCCTTTCCTTTTTACAAAAATAGATGAAAGGTGTTCCTGTATTTTCAGTTGCAAAATCTATTTTAAATGGTAACTGCATGCTAAAAACGGAGCTGAACACGGCAGCCGCTTATGCTACATATATCCATCTGCTAATTTGCCTGGCGGGGTGGTCTGGTTTCGAAGGAAAATTCATACCTCTGGGGTATAATTTCACACAGCCCTTTCTTACGGGCTTGAGCGATTGCAGGGTAAAGAGCATCCGTTCTGGGACGAATTTTGGCCTTTGGGCTGATGAGCAGGAACATGAAGAACCCCTGTTCGTTGAGAGGTGGGACTGTGGGGATCCCAGGTTAAAACCGGTGGGTGCACCAGCTGTGGGTGGTGGACCGCTCCGTTCGGGGTGAGGGTGATGCTCTGGTGCCTGGGACGGGCAAGCTCATTAGCTCCCGGCTTTAGCCTGGTGAGCGAGGGCCTGCTAAAAGAGCAGCTTCATGCTGTATCCTGGAAACCAGCTCTCAGGTCAGGTATACCCAGAGCACAAATTATTGTGGGCTTTCCGGTAGATTTTGAAATGGGAAGAATAAACGCGTCGCACCCGGCGGTTGTTTTATTCTCTTGCTTTGGCAAAGCAAACACTCTCCCCCTCCACGCCGTACACCGCTTCGCGAGGATGTCGCTCAGCCTTCTAGAGGAGCGAATGCAAAATTAATGGCTTGCCACTAATCTGGGAATGCGGGAGCTATTTTATACATGCAGCATCACTTAGAAATGTGGGGTCTGGTGTTTTGTTTTGGTTTTTTTTTTTTCCTTTGGCATCTGAGACAAATCGAGGCAGACTCGCACCATCCTAAATTTTTGGTTGAGTGATGGAGCAGTCATTGTTTCAAGGCTGCACGACAGCGTAGAGCTGAGTCTGGCCTAGGCTTTCGACCGTGGTGTATTTGACTGCAAGATGAATTGTGTTAAATTCACATGGCTTCCCGCAGCGCCGGGCTCGTTATTGGAACCTGCCGCTTGGCTTTAGTTTTGCATGCAGAAAACCAGGGTGGGTGAAAATGGGATTTCCCCAATCTTGATAGAGCTGGGCTGGTTTTTTTGTTGTTTGTTTGTTTGCCGATAGCAAACCATCCTTTGTGTGTCTTAAATGTGTTTTGTTTCGGGTCACGGGCTTTTTCTTTTTAAAATCAAACTGACGTCGGCGATGCTGCTGTTGTGCTTGCAGAATTTTCTGCTAAAAAATGCAGATGTAAGAGTAAAAACCTTGCTGCTGGCTTAACGCTGGAAGTTTTGAGAAGTGGAAAGCTGTGAGTTTCTGCTGGCAAAATTTGCACATTCCCCCTCTGCGATGGTTCCTGACGAAGGTCCCTGCGGGGCGCGGAGCTCTCGGTGCTGCTTCGCACAAGCTAGTCTGCTCTGGGGAAGTCGTGGTCTCTGCTGTGTCTCCTGAAGAAGCAGGACTTCCAACGGCTTCCCCATTTCTTTTGCTTTTGACTGACCTGTCTCAAAGAGGGTGACTTAGGCATATTGTAAGGGGTTTGTGTTTTACCCTTCGCCCTCCCCTTTTCATTCAAGAAATCTGTGCATCTCCGCAGCAAGAAAAAACTGAATGTGTCTTGTTTTTCCTCTGATTTCCAGGAAGTGGTTCTATATTGTTTGGAAAACAAGGTGTGTGACGTGAATCATCGTGACAACGCGGGTTACTGTGCCCTGCACGAGGCCTGTGCCAAGGGCTGGCTGAGCATCGTGCGGCATCTCCTCGAGTACGGGGCTGACGTCAACTGCAGCGCTCAGGATGGAACCAGGTTAGCAGCACCCCCGGCCCAGCGTTCAGGTGGTCACCGCCACCATCCCCCGGCAGCAGTTTCTTCCGTGACGGTGGTGGGAGGAAGCAGCCGTTCCCTCTCTACTCCTTTTATCCTCCCCTTGTCCCCCTTCCCATCCTGCACGAAGCCCCCGGAGCGGGTGATGCGCGGTGGCCTCCCTGTCGCCGGTCCTTGGGCAGGGAGCGCGCAGGAGTCGTCGACCTCCGCTCTCCCGGTTCATGGAGCGGTGGGGGCACGCTTCTGCCGTGACTCCAGTTCAGCCTGCTTTTCTTCTCTGGGAATTTTAATACGTTTGTTTTGTTGTTGAAGGAGTTTGTGAAATTCCCAGCTGCAGGGCAGGAAGGAGTGATACTTGAGCTGCAGCCCCGCTCCTGTGGCTCCGGCTCCTTTGAGCCGTGCAGAAAGAGCGGGCTTTGCCTTGTTAGCAGGGTTACTTGTAAGAGCTCTTCAAGCTTGCGCGGCCAACGGGTGTGCGAGTCCTCTATGTGCTGTATAAAAATGTTGTTTTGCTCAACCGTATCTGCTCATTTGATAATTTTGCCTTTTTTTTTTTCCCTAAATGCCGAATTAGGCTTTTTTTTCTTCCCTTCGCAGAATAGTAGGGGTGTACTTAGCTCCCGTGCTCACAGACTAGATAGTGAGCTGCTTTTTTTTTTTTTTTTTGAGATAGAAATGCTGCTCTGCAACTTTTTTAAGCCTCTTGTGCGTCTCCTAAAGTACCTCTTTGACTACCTCTGCGGGGCTGACCTTGGGTTAACTTTTTCCTCAGAATACACAGCACATTATCCAGTCTATGCATTTTGGGGATGGCTGGCTTTGTATTCTGCAAAGCTCCTGCAGCTTGTTATCTTAAATGGTTTATCGCATTCACTATCACCATCCAAATAGCCAGGGAGGTAAAATTAGCATAACCAAGAGTCTGCCTCTTTTGTTTTTAAGCTCTTTATTTATTAACTTGGGAAGGGAGGAGTCAGGAAAACAAAAGTCCCCAGAGGGCTGCTTTAGGATGGTCCATTAGAAGTTCATGATGGTCGGTTGTTACCGGCCCATCACAGCCGAAAGGAAACATGCCTGGAGAAATTCTGGCTTGATTGTCAGACTCCTTCTCCATCTCCCACTTCTTTGTAAGAATTCTCAGGTCTTTAGGTTGAGGAACAGCCCCGCATTTTCTGCTGTCTCCAGCTTTGTGGTGACCTGTGATAAGGGGGTGAGTTGTTACAAAAAGAAACCTAGATTATTTTTGTCCCACCAGAATAACCATATAGAAGATTAACCCCAGGAAGTTTCTGACCAGTCTTAATCACCCGCCAGTTCAGAGTCCCACTTTGATTTCAGTTCACAGATGGAGCAGTTTTTCAAGAAAGAAACTTGGCTTGCACACCCTGAAAAGTTGTTTTGGGGAAGATGCATTTTAGAAATGAACATTCTAACGATCTGATCATAGATGGTAATGTCAGAACTCACCCTGTGGTCCCTTTGTTTTCTGACAGCAGGCTTTTTTTTTTTTTTTTAAAGCTGCCCAACAGACAGTGTGAATCTGAAACATATCTAATATACAGATGAAAGATGGTCTAGCTGCCCTGAACTGAGCAGGACAGAGAGCAGAAGCTTCTGTAAGGAACATGTGATCATCACTCTCCCCTGCCTTTTGGTAGGGCCAGATTTCTCTGTCTCTGTAGAGTAAATCATGACATTCATAACACAAATCCCACCTCTCTCTTGAACCCTCAGTAGGTTTTTCCCCTTTAGCTTTTAGGAGGAAAGAAGTGTCAGTTTTCCTCAACTGTGTTGCTTTTTAAATTCAAATTCCTGAACATGTCCACCCCTTGGAAAAACATTAAAAATCTTAAAACCAAAACACCCCAAACAAACCCACCATCAAAGACTGACCCCCCCTCCCCTGCTTTTATGACTACAATGAATGTGCCTTATTGCTCCCTCCAACACCTCACAAGCCCACGAGCCAAAGGTATTTTTGGTCGTGCTGGAAGCTCTCGAGTCTCCAGACAGTAACAGTGGCTGTTGTTTAGTTCTGTTCAGCCAACTGATGTAAATCCTTAAAGAGGTGTCACTGCATATGCTGTGAGGTAACTGCATGCGCTGTGCTGGTTTAAATGGAAAGAGGGCAGATTTAGATTGGGTATCAGGAAGAAATTCTTCCCGGAGAGGGTGGTGAGGCACTGGAACAGGTTGCCCAGAGAAGCTGTGGATGCCCCATCCCTGGCTGTCTTCAAGGCCAGGCTGGATGAGGCTTTGAGCAACCTGGTCTAGTGGAAGGTGTCCCTGCCCATGGCAGGGGGGTTGGAACTAGATGGTCTTTAAGGTCCCTTCCAACCCAAACCATTCTATGATTCTACGATTTGATGAAAAGTTGTGACCACTTGGCTTTGATCTGAACGGGTAGGATGTAGGAAAGATTTGAAAAGGCCGTGCATTTCTCCTTTCAGTCCTGCCTGAAGGGCTGCAGGTGCTCCCATCAGTGTGTGCTTTTGCATGTGTGCATTTGAGTTTCGAGAGCGAAGCAAAGACCTGAGCCTCTTGCTTTGGTGCTGCCTTTTATGTTCCTACGCAGCCAGTCTGACGTGAGCCCAGTAGATAAGGTTGGCTTTCCGCCTCTGGTTTCTGATGCTATCAGAAATCTCCGTGAAGCCAAAACCAAGCGAGGTGGCAGATGGTAGCGACAGGGCAAGGCGTTTGGGGGCTGTAGGTGTGGTGCGAGTCCTTTCCTTTACCCCCAGCTTAGTGCTGGGGCTCTTGCCTCCACACCTACTGCTCCCTGTCCCTCTGTCCTCCCTGTTCCCAGGGCACTGTGCCAGGCTAAATCCAGCGGGTTTCTGTGGTTTTTCCCTTAAACCCTGTGCTGATCGTGGCTCTCCAAATGCAGCAGTGCCTGCAGAGCCTGAATACACAGCCGCTCTGCTGCTGAATTAGTAGCTAATCAAAGATTATTGTAGAGCGGGTGAGATCTTTAAGACCTGTCTCAGAGGCGCCACAGTCACTAAGGGCTCTTAATCGTCTTACCTATAAATAATAATAGGCCGTGCTTAAGAGGTGAGCGCTTTCCTTCCCTGACAGGACCTTGTAAGCACAGTAGTTCAACAAGCGCCATAGGAGGAGGCCTGTGCCTGACATGAGCAAGGATGCTTGCCAGTGGATTTGGCCTCATCTCCTTGTTCTTCTCCCCTTACCTGCACAGCATGCCCTAGCTGAACTGTCACTGTTTTAAAAACAAAGCCACATGCCAAAAATACAGGCATCTCCCCGCCTGTTAGCGCGGCCTCTCCATGGCTTCAGAGTCCGCTCGCTAGATTCGCTCTCTGCAGCCAGTTTTGCTTTATCCTTCTCGCTGGAGGCTGGTGAGCTCAGCCTTTTTTTATTTTTTCCCGGGGAGGACCATGCCAAGATGGCTCTACTCCTGCATCCTTTCAGCTGGTCTTGGCAAGGGTATACCCTCTGGCAGCTAATTGCGTTAAAGGAGAGGCAGCCGGCGTAGCTGCCCTCCCGCAACTCATGTCTTGCCTTTTCCGTGGGGCAGCGTTGCATAATAGAGTAGATGGAAATGCAAACGAAACGCCAAGATAGGGGTATGGCTCAGCGAGTTACAAGACCTCTTATTGCAGCGAGGAAAAATTCTGATGGTGCCTGAAAGGCTGAGAGCAAACCCCGACTGGTCTAAATAGTTTATAATTTTGGTGGTGGAATGATAAACCCCCAGTGAAATGTTTTCCTAACTCTAGTAGCGGTAAAAATAGTAGGAAGAATTCGACAGTACACCAGAGAGGGTTGAAATGTGTGTCTCCTGTAGGATATTGCAGCTCTCGAATGTCCCCGGATCCTTCTGGGGCCTTTCAAAGGGTTTGTTTTGGAAACGAGCTGCACTACCGTTAACTGTACCATTAGGGATAGAGAGCATTTATTTCCGTGATGCTCAGAGCGGAAAAGATTATATGGGCAGAGTGGCCCAGGAGAGGACTCCCAGGGATCCTTCTTTCACATCTGAAAAAGTTGCCGACTCCAGTAGTTACTTTTGCATCCTACAAAGAGCATGGTTAAACTCTGCGAGACTGAAAAATACTCTTTCCTCTGCCGGTTGTGGTGGGAGAAGCACACATGAGTAGCTGTGCCTTTGCATGGTCCTGCTGGTGAGCTTGCCAAGAAGCTGTGCTAGCCAGTAAAGCAGTCTGTCAGCGCTCTGTTACTGCCTTTTTCCCCCTGCCGTATCTATGGGGAATCTCTTTTTTTCCACCCCCACCTCTGCACCGGTGTTTTCTTTCCTCCTTTCGCTTCCTTCTATTTATTATTCTTCCTCCTTCCGCGTGGCTTTACCGCGCCTTTCCTTCCTCTTCCCTCTGTAAAGTCTGCTCTCGTGCCCAGACCAGCCTCCCTGTGCTCCAGGCAGGTGACAAAGAGGGGTCTGCCTGCCTGCCCCACTGCCTCTGCCCATCTGCACTACTGTGCAGTAGCAGGGGCGAGGGGGTCCCATCCTGGGGTTACAGCTCTTGTGCTGCCATTCTTCCTTCCTGAGGGATGCCCAGGTGCCCTTTAATAAACTCGGCCGGGTGTTATTAAATCGATTGAAACACTGGGCGGTGATTTAGATGCTGTTTTTAATAAGTTGAGGGATCATCTTGAATTCATTACTACTTCAAAAGCCACTTAGGTAAGTCAGTTAAAAAAAAAAAAAGCCACCAAATGAGAAAACCCACAAACCAATAAACCCACACCACCACTCTCCATGCTACCCCTCCCCCAAGCTGGAAAATCCTAAATCTAAAATAAATTGGAAAACGGTTCAAAATTAAAGACTCCAGTAAAGTGAGAGAGTGGGGGAGAAAAAGCGTCCCCAGTATTTGGCGGCAGCCGTAACTCTCATCTGTTCCTGGTGCCCGTTGCCAGACTTTCAGCCAGGGATGCTTCGTGCCCAGTGGGGGACAGGAGGGTTTGCAGCAAGGCTGACCTTTCCCGCTGTGGATGCTTAGGATGTCGTGACCCGACAGCTCAGGCCTCAGATGCTTGCTGACAGCCAGAAACACCCGATACTTCATCAGCCTCCGTGTCAGCACCCCTGTTATTTGTTACCTCCTGTGTTGTATCGCCTGGGATGTTTAGCACCGGCCAGGTCCTGGATGCGCTGACACAAGGCTGTGGCAGTCCCTGTATGGAAGCACCGAGTCTGTGGGTGGAGGTGGGAGGGTGAGGCTTGTGGAGCATCCCAGGAATGTTGGCTTCTCCAGCACCATCAGGTAGTTTCAGTGTTACGTTAGAGACCTCCCTGAGAAATCGAGAAAGGGATATTGTGACCTTACGCAGGTGACCCTTACGGGCCTCTCTGGTCTTCAGAATCGGAAGTGGCTTCCCAAAGAGCGGCATGTCGAGCTGTGAAGGTGTGCCCGTGTTGTGCTCGCTGGTGCCGGGGGTCTGAGGGGTGGCACGAGCTGGGTTGAGGAGTGTGCAGGAGGCAGGCAGTGCAGGATAAGACTTCTCTCCATAGGGAAGGGGCCGCAGCCTCTCCAAGTGCAGCTCTGCATGTCAATATAGTGTGCATATGCCAAAACCAAAACCGCATGCAGCTTTCCAGCGAGATGAAGGCCAGCAGGAGTGCTTCACATGGGCAAATGTTAATCACCCTAGTCCACAGCCTACTGGAAAATCTAGTTGGAGTAAACAGTCCAGGAGCATACTGCTTTTTGAGCTGGATCAGAGTTCCCCTCCGACCAGCACTGCTACGTACTAAGTGGGAAAACGGTGGTGTGCCTTCCTCTTCTGCCCGTTTCACTCTGTCCCGAGGTCCCATAGATGCCAGCCCATACCAAAGCGGTGGTGACACAGAGGGGACATTGCTGCATGTGGCAGAAGGAGTGGTGGGATGCGTCGTCTTTGCAGGAGGGAGTTTCAGCCCTGGTTGTTAGCCCAGGGTTGCTTGGCAGATTGGTCGATGGAGCTGAGGGGTTTGCTTGTCTGTGCTTCCAGATGACTTCTCCTTGTAATGTCATTCTGAAAGCTCTCCAGGAAGGCAGTGCGTGATTCTAGTTCAGAACCCTTCCTTACTTCTCTTGCCTTTTAATATACCTGTTTGAGAGCTTGCAAGCCTTCTTGGGGGGCAGCGGTGCTGACAGCCTGAAGGAGGAGGAGCGTAGAGTCAAGTTGAACTGCCCCGATCGCTGGCCATTGCATTTGATTCCCCTTTCAGTTCCCTGCTCATCGCCCTCCAAGGAAAAGATGGGGTTTTAACACATCTTCATTAGCCTGAAGGGCAATATGTTATACTTCCAGACAACTCCCCGTTAACGTATAATCAATTTTAAAGGCAAAAGTTAATGCGATTTATAATTAGCGATAAGGAATTCTAAACCTGGAATTACAGGCATGTGTATTAATGAATGATCCTTCTGCAGGCTCACAAAATCCGTGTCTGAGCTTGTATAGATTGCTCATGCCGCATAAAATGCTTTAACTTCTGGGTGGACTAAACTTAAAATAAGATGTTTTTCTGTTCTCTGAGTAGAAGTGTTGAATTGTGCTGCAAATACATTTGCAAGTACTATTTAAGGAGGATATAGCGCAGAAGTTTAGTTCCTAGCAAATTTTCCTATGTTATTTCTGTGTACATAATTTAGGAGCTTTGGGTAAGTGATTTCCGTGCTTGCCCAGAGGCGGGCTGGATGAGCCCTCACTCCGCCGGATGCTGTTAAATTGGCAGAGATTTGGAACGGTAGAGTGACTTGCAGCGAAATGATGTTTGTGAGGCTTCATGCAAACTCCTGCTTTCTGTTACAGCGGTGTAATTGTTTTACTGTCCCTCGAAATCGGTACGGCAGCGAATAGAGGTAACAGAAATACCTGCCCCGAGCAGTCTGACTGTGAAAAGACAAGAGGGAAGGGAATGATGCGCGAGTAAAGCTGACAATGAGAAGATTGGCAGCTGTATTAATAGTGTTATTTTCTATAAATAACTTTGATCTGAAGTTTCTTGTCAAACAGATTTGCATAATAGTATTGAGTCAAAATGTAACACGGTGATCTTTTTTTATTTCCCTAGACCGATCCATGACGCGGTCGAAAACGATTACTTGGAAATTGTCCGCCTGTTACTGTCTTACGGTGCTGATCCAACTCTTGCGACCTACTCGGGGAGGACCATCGTGAAAATGACCCACAGTGAGCTCATGGAGACCTTCCTCACAGGTGTGTGGACATATTGCTTGGGGCTCTGGTGAACAGGGGGACATGTTCTGGGCTCTCCAAAGTCCCTGCCGCCCAGTGAGGATGGCTCCAAGCTGTGAAGCGTTGGCGTAGGCTGCAGTAGGTCCCTCTCTGCCTGCAAAAACCCAGCAGCTGCAGGTGGGAAGCATAGCCATGGGGGCTCCTTCTAATGGAAACTCTTCTTAAGTCATAAGGATTGTGCCACTATCAGATTTGGTAGGTAGGAGGTCAGCGGGCTGTTTCAGTGCCTCCGCTTTTCTGCTTGAAATAAGAAACTGGCCAAATCTAATAGCTCTTTTGTTAAAGACGGTCATATATTCCCGTGGTCTTGCTTTTTATCCTTCTAGTATTCGTCTTTCTGCAAGTTCTTTCTCATTTTATATCTGAAATGCTGTAAAACTATGCTAAGGGCTCTTGTCCTTAAACATGCCCATGTTCTAACATGGGGTTAGATTTTTCTCCTGTTAGTTTTGGCTGGACACTCGCATAGCCTAATAACTTCACCTCTGAAAATGTTTGCAGTGTTCACAGTCCATGAGTTTACGTACTCACCCACTTACCCATTTAAATGGTGCAGTGTAGAAAGTGCATATGGGTATCGGGACTCCAGTATCTTGAACTTCTCAGTGTCTTGAATCCCAGTATCTTTTCATCAACTCAGCTAGTGGATCTCCCAGATTACCTTTGTAGAAAAATAATCACATCTTCTAAACTTATCTGTGGGGAAAAACTTTTTTCATCAGTTTCTTTGGGGCCACTGTTTCACCTCCAAGTTGGTGTCCAGAATAACTATGCAGGGTAAAAAATGCGGTACTTCCTATCTTCCACACAAATAAAATGCTGTTCTCAGTTTCTGAAGCTTATTGGATCCATTCCTGTTAAGACTGCGGGTGATTCTTTAATGTGGTGGGTCATAATGTGATGTGACGGGAGAAGGGATGCAGGAGAAAAGTGAATTCCAGGAATATTTGCAAGAATGGTGCGTGTATATGCTGTTCCTCGTAGCATGTGCATCAGGAACATGGTGTGGGTTTTATTTGATGGAAGGTGTGGAGCGTGCATAGTCAGACTCTGTATGACACACGGTCTGCTAAACTTGCCAGCTTTTTGTTCTCATCAGTATGTTGTTGTTGTTGTTTTTTCCTCTCCAGAGTATTTAACTGACCTGCAAGGTCGAAGTGTTGATGACCCTGGTTTGTACTGGGATTTCTATGGCAGCTCTGTGTGCGGTGAGCAAATGTTACCCTTTTATTTCTTTGTATGCGGAGACTTTCAAAACATGCGGCACGTAGGGGGTGGGGGTTGTTTTGTTTTTATGGCAGAGGAAGCTAGGAAGGAAGCGCACTGATTTTATTTACAGATCACGTTATTGGAAGAAAAAGCAAGACCTGCAACTGTCTCTTCCATGCTGACTTGGCACCTTTCTTCAATTTTGTTTAGATCCAAAAGATGAATCTGGATTTGACATCTTGGCAAATCCTCCTGGCCCAGGTGATGAAGATGAAGATGGCTTTAGCGATGTGTTTGAATTCGAATTTTCGGATGAGCCTCCCTTGCCGTGTTACAACATTCAAGTGTGTCTCTCTCAGGGGTAAGAACAAACGCTGGGTTTGGGGTAAAAATAGCTGAGGCGATCTGCCTGGAATAGCAGGAGTTTGCGTCTGTGGGGAAGCGCGTCTGCATTTAACTAATGTGAACGAGAGAGCAATACCGTAGAAAGAAGCTAACAGGAGGTGAGAGGGGGAAAGGCTGACTTGTTGGGACCGTGTTTTGAGTGTCATAGTCTCAGGCTGAACGACTGATGTTTGAACACAAATGCCTTCCCTCGTCCCAGGCAGGCACCTGAATAGAACATCCCAAAATACAAATTTGGATGTCATGTTTGTAAGGTGCTCTTAATTTTATTTAGCCGGCTTTTCTGTTTTGCTGAGTGGGCACACTTTCGTGAATGACGAAATGACACCGTTACTGCTGTTACAAACTCTGCAGCAAAACTAGTTTAAATTCAAAAATTGTGTTTTTAATCTGAGACACCCCTTTCCCCCCCCCCGCTGACTTGTATTTAATAACGGCATCTTCTGGCAGTCAGAGGTGCTGAAATTTCTCATTACAACTCTAGGCTGTCTCCTAACTTGCTGCATGGGGGTTGGGCTCAGCCAGGCCCAACTGTGTGAGTGGCTGCCGGGATGGCGGCTGACCCATGCCTGCGCTCACGAGCCCTGGGATGATAGGCTCCGGTGCCCCTGCATGCCTGGTTGCCCTCCTTCCCCAAAGCTGGGGGCTGTGAATGAATACGTCCACGCCGGCGTTACATTCGACCCCGTGGGCAATGACCTTGATTTCAGGGGGGTGGTTTGTGCGGGAGGGTTTGTCACACAGCGATACGGTGAGGAGCCAAGCCCGTGGCCGAATGTTGGTTATTGGAGCCTGTCTCTCCTTCGCTTCCACAGACCACGGAACTGGCTTTTGCTCTCGGACGTGGTGAAGAGGCTAAAAATGTCATCTCGCATCTTCCGCTGCAACTTCCCCAATCTGGAAGTTGTCACCATCACGGAGGCAGAGTTTTACAAACAGACTTCCCTCAGCCAGTTGTTCTCTTGCGCTACGGACCTTGAAGCTTTTAACCCAGAGAGCAAAGAGCTGTTGGACTTGGTAGAGTTCACAAGCGAACTCAAGACTTTGCTCGGCTCCTCGCTTCACTGGTTGCATCCGCACGAGGACCCTCCCTTCGACATCCTCTGGTGAACCATCAGGCCATTTAATGTACAGTGCTCTATACAGTTACTTCTTTATGTATATGTGTTCAAATGCAATTGTTTCTGTAAAGAAAGGACACTATTAAATATGAAAATATCTTTCCTTTATATAAGAGATCTGAATTCCAGTTGGATGGATTTTGGAAGAATTTTTTTTAACTTCAATCAGTTTTTACAAAATTGTTATATAATGTTTCTTTAAATGCACACAGGCTTTGGGATAAGTTTGTTATTACTCGGAACACATTTGGTTTTTTTTTTTAAAGAACACACCCACACATTGACTTTGTTTCATACAAAGCACTGATTACACAGGACATACTTTTTCTAGGTGATGTGATCAAAGTCGTGTGGCTTGTTTGGGAGATAGAATTCGGTAAGGCACTTGGTGATATTATTTTTGTTTTTTTGTTTACAGAATTACCTGCTTTGGCCAGGTAAGCACTATTGAATATAATTCAATAGTTTGTAATATAAATTAAACCATATCCATACGCATCAAGTAATTGTAAGAACTTTTATATCCTAATTTAAAAGCTGTGAAATTTAGTTTTCACACATCAAACCGGATTGTTTATATATGTTTAAACATTTTATGCTCTTTATTTAAAGAAGACTTTGAACTATTTTTTCTGTACCTTGTAAAATATTGAAAAACTAACATATGTTGAAGTTGCTTGAAACTGTACATAAACTAAATTTTCTGAATTGTGTGTTTATGTTTGAGATCTGTGTTTTAACTTTGTAAGTAAATCTCCTGCCTTTGTATTTATATTTTACAAAAATTTTCTTAAAGGCAATAAAACTGTTGAGAAATGAAGAGGCTAAAGTGACTCCCATTAATTCCGTGCCTGGTTGTGAAACGAGCTCTGGCTCATTAATGTTCATGAATGGAGGCTCTGCGTGCAGTTCCCGAAGCGGAGCAGAGCTGGCAGAGGTGCCGGTGCGCAGCTGATGAAATCTGAGGTAGAATCTGAATCGGCTTTCTAAGCTCAAGGTGACAGGAAAACATCGGGAGGGCACTTTTTGAGGGACAGAGGTTTAAAAGCAGCATTTGCAGTACGTTCTGCATTGCCTTTTACTTCAGAGATTGTGAATAGGTTCAATTATTTTTCCTCCTTTGTCATCATTTTAAGTTGAATTGACTGAATTCTCCTTTCAGTGCAGAGGAAAATAGTACCAGGGTGAATGCTTTTGTTTTAATGTGGAGCATTAAGGGACGGTGAATGGGATGTCACTTCTAAAGAGGCTGGGCACCCAGGGCTTGGGCAGACCCTCTGTTAAGGGTCTGGGTCTGCCTTTCTCTTGTGTGAAGAAGTTCCCACTGTGAAACCCAATAGCTTGAATTTTGCTTTAGGGCTGCTTTTTAACAGTAGTATGCCCTATGATAGCCAAATGCTTCACCTGAGACATTTAAATCATGCTGCTCTTCTGGTGAGAGCCAGGACACCCACCAAAAGGGTCTTGAGCAGAGCACCTGGTCCATCTGAGAAAAACATCTGGGGAAAGGTTTCTCCATCTGGAGCAGTGGAGCTCTGAGGTTTCGATTAATGTCCCGCGTATTGCAGTTTAAATGTTTGTGCTTGGGGGAGCTTAAGGAACGGTGTGAATTACCCTCTTCCTGAAGGTAAGGGAGGATGAGTCCTCATTCCTGAAGAGCCCCAGAGGAAAGATGCAGGGCTGATGCCTCTCGTGGTTTGTTGCCATCGACTCTTGCCAAATGTTTGTGCTGCGTGGCTTAGTGGGGCTACTTCTGGGGCTGAGGTGGTTTTGTAGCTGAGCCAAGAGGTGAGAGAGGGGTCCGACAGCCATCTGCTGTCTCCCCACGGTGTGGGGAATTTTTAGTCCTAATGCAGCCACCAACATCTTTCTCCAGACTTCGGATAAGTATGATGATGCTCTCTCCTGTACAGCTTGATGCACGCCGTGGGTTTCCTTTTAAGCCAGCCTCCAGTTTTGCAAGAAACTGAAACACAGACATCCCTACTCTTCAGTGCCGTCTGCTTTTACCTCCCGAGTTTCCCAGGAAGCGGAGGTGGGACAGAAAAACTCAGGCAAAAGAGAATGTTAAAAGCGATTGTTACAGACACCTTTATCTGATCAGCTGCATAATGCTTGAGTGGTTTGAGCTGAGCATAAATCAGCTTCCTACCACTTCCAGGGGTGCGTGGCAGACACCGCACTTCTCGCCATGCCCCGTAGGCAAGCAGAAAATTGACACAGCTTCCTCTTTTGGCCAGCTTCTCCTCAAATGATCTTGAGCACGTGTTCCCCAAACCTCTCTGCTTAGTCAGCTTTCCAGTATCTCCACTGAGTACAGTTGGGCCTTCTCCGTGCTGGCGCTCGCGCCTGTGCTCAAATACAGTAACAGCCTCATGCTGTTGTAATGGAAGCCTGTGCCTGCCCCGGGGCCTGTCTGTGCCCTAAAAACAGGGCCATGGCGAGGAACACCTGATCGCAGTGCTGTGCCTTGATCTAATGCAACCATTTTATCTTCTAGGATGTACTTTTTTAAAGTTTCTTTGCTGTGCGAGTGTGCTTGAGAGAACACGGAGGGTTCAGTGAAAGAGCAGGGCAGCATCCTGTGCTGCTGGGTGTGCGAGGCTGGCTTGGCTAACCCCATTCTGGGTGGTTTGGGAGAGACTGTCATGTGAGAGACTGCCTGCCACGTGTAGTTTTGCAGTAGACAAACCCAGGGGAGAGGTACCTTGGGGAGAGGAGAGATGGCAGCATGCCAGCAGGGAGTGAACTCGGTGACAGTGAGTGTAGGCAGGAGAATTGAAACACTGGCAGCCTTGCCAGCACCGGGACTGGCTGAATCCTGCACGGTGCAGAGCTGGGGACTGAGCTGGCTCCAACCAGCAAGGCAGGGCAGAGCCAGGAGAGGGCTGGTGTCCAGTGTTTCAGCTTCTGGACTCACGTTGCTCACTTTAAAGCACTTCCTTGCGCATTCTCTGTGTGCCAAAGAGACTTCCTTCACACCGCTGGCAGTGCTCCAGGTTAATAAAAAATAAGGAAACAGAAATGCAGCCTTTGGGGATGGTAAAACCTTGCCGATCCTGTGTCCTGCCTTCTGCAAGGTGAAAGTGCAGTGTTGATGATGTTGGGGCCCAAGCCAAGGTGTTCTCTTGAGCTTCCCCTGCTTATCACTTGGTTTTCACTGGCTGGGAGATTGTCCTGTCCTGTGGAGGTGTTGGAGGACCAACTGGTTTGACAGGGGAAAAAAAAAACCCATCTCCAGCTGGCAGCTGGAGCAGGCAGGTGAGCCTCAGGGAAAGGAGTTTCCTATGTCAAACTTTCACTTGGTGCTGGCTGGGAAATCCCAGGAAATACCCAGCTCCAGTCTGGCTGCCTGGCAGGGGGGGAAGCCAAGCCACGAGCAGCGCTGGGAGGTTTCCCCTGAGAAAACCATCGCTGCTGAGGACCACAAAATATTAACTCCTTCGCCTTCTTGCCTTACCCAAAGGGACTGGGTCCTGCATAGTGGGGTCAGCCCTGGGAGTTTCCCATTTGGGTTATTTCTCCCTCTGGACACTCTCCTCATTTCTGCTTTGCTGTTGTGTCTGCCTTTTGCTCCGGTGGCGTAGCTGGAGGCTCATGCTGAGGACACTGATATGGTGAGAGGCAAACAAGGGCCAGAGGTGTTCGGTCCTTGTTTGTGCTTGGTGTTGGTGCTCTTCAGGGAGCAATCCGCTAAAGGGACCGCCCAGATTCCTTCTGGGAGCCTGACCTAACTCCTAGTTGGCAGGATCACAGGATCAGAATGGAAATTGTCTTAAAAACTCTTCACAGGGGCCAAGCTCACTCCATGAATCAAGACTTTGAAGCTGACTCCTCCCTTCGTTTCTGTGCAAAATAACAAAACTATAGATGAGACCCATCGCTTGTGCATTAATATGAACAAGGTGTCAGGGAGTGGTAAATGCAGGCAGCTGCCATTCCCAGGCTCTGTGGGGCTGCTGGTAAACATTCAGCATCATTTCTTTGGTTCATACAGGAAAAAGGCACACATTGCTACTTTAAACTTGCACAGATGCAAGCTAACTGAAAAAATACTATCATATCTGTTTAAAATTGTTTGCAGAATGTCATATTTTCATTTCAGTATGGGTCCAGTGTTGGTAGGAGAAGGCTTGGCGCCACTACACAAGACAGAACAGTTGAATGCCACAGTCGTGAAGACATACATATTGGGTCTTTCCGCAATGGGCTTATTCTCCATTGCATTTCTGATAGGAGGAGGGGCAGGGAAAGAAAGTATCTGGAGTCCTACAAGTGCACAGTCCCAAGCATAAGTACAGGCAGGGC